AAACATTTGTAGGAACTTGTTGTGGAGGATTCAGTGGTTTGTATGTTTACGTATGGTACTTTAAATGTAGCTCCTGCCATCTGCTGGCGCTTTTTAGGTGACTACAACAACATTTCAGCTGGCACATGAACAGACACAGTGCAGACACAGTGTGTACCATCGTGTAGTGTGTCATGTGTGTCAGCCAAGTCACGGCACGATGTTTTGACTCCACAATCGTGTAATGTGACATAGTGACTTTCAGAACCGGCAGAATGTAGTATGTACAGGCATAAATCCTCCTTTACCTTTTCTCCCTGCATGTCGCTCACTTTTAGTGTGTGACTGCAGCGTGTGCATGAGAGGGGGAGGGGCTGCTTAGTGCTAAGAGAGGGAGCGACAGAGAGAGGGAGGCGAGCGGAGCAAGGGGCTTTCTTCAGACCTGCTTTTTGAAGCAAAACAAAAGTTTACATGATAAAATAGAGAAAACATTGCATGTCCCAGTGTTTCCCATTAATTAACGAAACTATGGCGGTCCGCCATAGTTTAATTTGACCCGCCATAGTTTCTAAATAAAAGATTTAGGCTGCCAAAAGTATTGACTTCTCATGATATAAATAATATCTCGAACGCCGGAGTGTTTTGTGCCGATGTGCTCAGGCTGTCAGATCCAGCGCTCGACAGTGGGAGCGTTTCACTCCACTAAAAATAGGTGTGTGCGAACTGTAAAAAATATTTAGGGGCACATGTGCGCATAAAAAAAAATCAGCCGAAGCAGCCTATATTTTTGTCAATAAAAAAATATGATAATCTAACTGCAAATGTTGGAGGAACTCCAGCCACCTTCCCTCTTCCCCGTGTGACACGGTTATGGGCGGTTTTCCAAGCCACTGTCGGCACAATGAATATAAGTCCCACTGTCGGCTGGGTGGAAATAAGTCAAAGGGCTCTAGTTTCCCGGCGCAGCGCAGGGTGGCGCAGGGTGGCGAACCCCACGCAGAGCTAGTTTCAGGCAGCGCAACCCGAGGTGCGCTCAGTTTGGTAGTTTGGCAGACCGAGATACGCTGAGATGGGTGTGGTGGCGCAGCAGGGGGAGGTGTTGACAGATCCAGCTTGGTGCAGTGACAGTTTCGTGCCAAAAGGCTTCGCCAAAGGTGCGCTAAAAGCTCGCCATCTGAAACCAGGTCTACTGTCAGTGCAGGGGGAGCGCAGCCGGTGTAAGCCAAAGTTTGGCTGACCGGCGGACAGTGCGCACACGTCACCAAAACCTCACAGGCAGGTTTCCAGAATGTCAGGCACATTAACGATGCAATAAATAGCCACAAAACCACTATTCAATCCAACTATCTGCAATCAGCACATAAATGTATCTCTATATCGACTGTCCTGTCACATCTGATGTCAGATCAAAGGGGATTGGCACCGTCTGGCACGTTTGGCACGCGTAATGGAAACCCAACCTGATTTGATTAAACAGCTGCAAACTAGTGAGTTCACATCCCTCTCAGCCAACCACAAACAGCCACAGCATCAGATAGGGAGTATATATTCAGCATCTGTCATCTTAGAAAAGTCAAAAGAAAAGAAACAGAGTGAGACTGCGAGAAAGAAAGAGAGAGAGCGCACACACGAGAGAAACGCATCATTGATTTACAATTGTGGTGACCTCCTCCCAGGCTACCTTTGCATCATCAGCCCGTGGAGGTCTGCTCGCAGTTCCGTATATTCGGACACTGCAAGCTTGGACCTCCAGGACCAAAACATCAGTTTCCTCCTGGGAGAAGTTTGGCTGTCTGACGCTGCTGCTCTCTTCTGTCATGGCGAATTGAGTAAACTCTCATTACGCCTTTGTGCGGCACATTTAAGGGCGAGGAGAGGGGCTCATTTGATTGGTGTGATGTGTGTAAAACCCACTCCACACCTTCTCTCTTTCCTCTTTCCGACTTGTGCAGGTAGGAGGAACGGAGGTGGGACAGACGAGTAGCTGCGCCAGCGCGCACGGTGTGCCAAACTTGCAAAATCCGCCTGGCCACACCCAGTTGGCAAAGCGCAGGTGCACTGCGCCCCCGCCTCGCCCGGTCTGCGAAACTAGAGCCCAAAGTGTGGAGAAGAGGGACCGGGAAAAGCAGCGGACCTCCGGGGAAGCCTGCTCCGTTCTCCCCGTAGTTAGGGACCGTTCGCCACAGTACTGCTGCTGGGCAGGGTGGAAATAAGTCCTGCAGAGTTTCAGAGGACCTAGAGAATGTTTTAGGATAGTAATAACATTATATAAGATAATCATATTACAAAGATAATATAAGATTTAATAACATTAAAGACAAAATTAAATTGCAATACTTTTTCAAAACTTGATGATTTTACCTTTCTGTACATTTTGTATACAAATCCCCCCCCCCCCCAGTTTCCCAAAATCCTGTGGGAAACACTGATGTCCTACGATGTGACTATCGCACATGCACACATAGGTAGTCAGTCAGGTAGGTAGTCATATGTGACTTCATATCTACAAATTTACATAAATAGTTCAAATCTACGTATGGTAGTAGCAGAGTTGGGATTTTAATATTGTAGTTTCAAAAGCTTGGCAGCATTATTAGCTAGCTAGCAATCATTGGCATTGCTAGGTATCTAGAATAAATGTAAAAAAGAAGTAAAGTCCACACACCAAAAAGCTCCAATCAAGTGTGATTTATTTAAAGCATGACGTTTCGAGCCATGTCGGCTCTCCCTCAGATGCTTGCATGTAAGCATCTGAGGAAGAGCCGTTTTTTTACATGTTAACTTTTTTGGTCCAGCACCCACCCTCACACGGGGTAAGATGTGCGTGTTGTTTTTCCACTTTTGTTAGGTATCTAGAATAAGACAGCATTTTAGCAAGCTAGCTGGAAGAGGGCATCCTGAAATAAAAACTTATCCTGAAAAAAAAAAGGCTACAAGGCCTCTAGACAATCCATTTATGGGACAGAGTTTGGATTTTAATTTGTTTCATATAGTTTAATAGCTCATTTTGAGCATGGTCCCATTCCTCTATTAGACCAAGATGTCCCTTTTAAAGATTTTTTCTTTGTGTTAAAACAACAAAATTAGCTACACTACCAATTTATTTCTCCCAAAAGTATGTTGGTTTCTGCATCAAGATCATCCTGCACATGCAAAACTCCTATCCAAATATTCTTTAAATTGACTTCTTCTTAAGAGGGGTATCTTCCCCCATCTTTGCCGACATTATAGTTGTTATTTCTACTTGTCTCACCCTCACGCTTTACATCAAAACGATTGTAACATGTCACGCATTTTCTAAAAACAAACCACTTCGATATCACATTTTCTCTAGCTTTGGTGGCCTAACTTTTATTTTATGTTGTAATTACAATATTGAGAAACTCCCTGTGAAATTATCTGCATTTCATAAACAGGTCCTTCTAGCATGGTCGTTAATATATGAGCACAATCTCTCACCACACAGTTACCTGATTTGGAACAATAGAGACATTTTGTTCAAAAATAAATCACTGTTCTTTGAGAGACGGATTCAGAATCAGATTTTACTGGTGAGTCAGCTGTTTAATGGTGATGGTGTCATACTTAGGAAGAATTTTTATCTATATACAAATTCCCAGTAACCCCTAAGGAATTTGCTATACTTTTTGATGCCATTCCAACAGGGACCTTTATGCTTTTTAGGAATGCTTCAAGGCCCACACCTCAATGTATATCTCTACCCAACGTAGCTGACTCCTCGATAGGAAAAATTTGACAGAAACCTTATAATTTACACTTTCCAATGTGTTCACTGCCGCATAACGAGACTTTTTTGAAATAACGTGATTTAGATAAAACAAAAAAGTTTAAAATGGATCATTCACAGCAGAGATGGAGCACTAAGTGTCCCCCTCCCATCCTCCTGCCACATGATAACTGCTCTTATTCTGTCTGTTTCAATAGGTGTATTTGTGGGGGGGGGGGGGGGGGGGGGGGGTCACAGTGAGAACAGCCACAGTAAAGACATCAGAATATCCTGCAGGTCAAAGTATCACTCTTTTGAGGTGAACTTATTACAGAGGATTATTCGGTGGTATAATGTACAATCGGTGTGATCAGCTGTTTCAGAGCAGCTCATCAGATCCGCTATTCATATTATTGTAGCGCAGTGTGTGGTGACACGCACAGAAAATATGTATTAAAAATGGATCACTGTTAAATGACTGTGATTCTGTGTGGGAGTCTGTTTATATACTGTAAATGATAATTCTGAACTTTTTCAGCTGTTGTCTTTACTTCATTACTCCACTTACTCTTAAATATGATCCAGAAATATATTCTCCCTAAAAGTCACGAGATTCTGACAATACTGATACATGTGCTTAAAACTGTCCAACAACATTACAGAGTGCCAAAGTTATCAGAGTAACTGAAACCCCCTCAGTCTGCTAAGGATCAATGATGATCACGTGGGGACACTTGTTAGCCTGTTCCAATGTGTGTTCACTGAGTGCTAGGGAGGACTCTTGCCTTACCTCTGCAGGATCGTTCCTTGGGAGGACTTTGAGAAAAACCCATTGTCTTTAAGTGTTTTGATGTTTTTGTATAGTGTAATGTGCCCCTGGCTCCTTTATTTATTTCCTGTTTACATGTGCTATACGGATTATTGCTGATTTCATACTTCTCTTATACTCCCTGTAATCTGTGTCTTTATATCTTTGCAATAAAGTTGAATGAAAAAAAAAAGAAGATTGTAACATATCACAATTTCCCCTGGGGTGTCAATCGTTTCTGATTCTGTAGGCTACTGAAACCGATTCAGCTGTGCCTTATGTCAAAATCTTATCAATAAGCATGTAAACTTTTTTGTATTATAAAAATATCTTTTACAAGTCTTGACAGACGTTTGCCGTATGTTCTACAGCTGGAGTAAATAACAGACACATTCGCCACATTAGTAATAACGCTGATGTTACTACAAGTTTTTTCTCCCACCTGCGACAGGTGAGTTACGTTTGTTAGCTGTAAAGATAACTTACCTGACAGAGCTGCATTTCTTTTGGAACAAACAATCATGGAGCAGTGCAGCTTTCCATTAAAGATAGGAAGCTGACTAACAGCAGGGCTAGTGCTAAGCTAGCTCTGAAACAGAACTTCTAACACACAAGTAGAGCTCGTAAACGTTAGCTAGACAGCGTATAGATGTGAGATTTAAGAACGAGTGGCAAACGCCGTCGTCTTTTTCATGAGCATTACTTATGAACTGCGTTTAAAAAAACTCACCAGACAACTGCACATGTGTTTTCAACACGGTTGCCATCATGGAGTAACACAAGAATGGCTCCGTAGACTACGACTACCAAACGTCTAAGGTTCCGCCTTCTTCAAGTTTGAGCAAAGAGCATGGAGACCAAGAGGCGAAGCTCCGTTGAATTTTTGCCAACAGCTAGGGGCGCTGCGGTAGCGCTGCTGCCATTTTGGACTGTTGAGCTTGGACTGTTGCGCCCAGACAACATGCAAGATGTCAATGAGAGAGGAGAAAAAAAGTAAAAGAAAACAGCGTAGTGCAATTAACTAATGCAATTAACTGCAACAACTATCAGTGTAACATCCCGCACCTGGCCTTCCACCGTTTCCCGAAGGATCCCGACAGGTAAGAACTCCTGAGGTGTACGTTTTAAAGAGTTTTAATATCAATATAATATGCCAGTTGTGGAGGGAAGATAACACACACACACACACACACACACA